ATCTAATGAGTTTCAAGGCCTGGAGTTTAACCTCACATGTTTTGATTTCTAAGTTCCCTATTGTCTTAAAGAGAAAAAAATATTTTCCTCATACTCAAAATATTTACTCAGTATATGCTAAATTTCTTTTTTAACATTTATAAAGTGCTCTTTAAATGTTAGTCTCCCACTCCCTACCTTTTCCTCCTGCCTCCCAGTTTATTTTGTATAGTATTTGGCACTTGATTCAGTTATAACAGTTCTGGATATCAAGATGACCAACACTATTGAGTCGACATCTCTTAAACATTCAGGAAATGCATTACGCAAGTAGTTGTGGTTATTGTTATCCTTCAAATCACTTGACACAGACCATAAACATTTAGCTCTGGTGCATGAAAAATGGGTTAGAGGCCAAGCTTAGCTTGTCTATAGGGTATCTGTTTCATCTTCATGATAGAACCCAAATGTGCCAGTGATGATTCATGGAAATACTTAATGATAAAGAATGGCTTTGTTTTTGTTGGGAATCTTTTAAAGAATGCTCATCAAAGTGGATTCTTTATTTTCAGATACTTTCTTCCTAACATACCAACACTGAACTGAAGTTCTTACTTGCAGAATATCCTCTTACAAAAAGACAGTATGATACAATCCAATGTAATAGTTGAGGCTAAAATGTGCTACTTAAAGCACTTTCTTGCTTAAATTTCATTACTATCACAAAGCTGAAAGTATATTTCCTTCATAGCATGTTAATTCAGGAATATACAAAACTATTTTTTTATATTTTCAAACTATGATTTTCTTGAGTGCTAGGAAGAGCTAGTTGGAATTTATGAAGCTGATACTGTCCCTTTTTAAGTTGTGATATTAATTCTATAGCTATGTCCAGAATAGAATTCTATAGACTGATAGGAAAGTCTCATGTTTTAGTATTCTCATTTCCTTCACTCTATAATCTCCCTTTCTCTTCCCAAAAATCATTAAAAGAGAGAGAAAAGGTGAAGGAAAGAGGAAACACAGACCATTTATAGTTTGTTCACATTTTTTTCTGCTTTTTGATAACTTTTCCCCTCCCATACTTTTTTTCTATTACCTTTTTAAAAAATCTCCCTTGCCTCTTTATCTACCCCAGCTCCCATAATCCTGATAACTCCCGTCTGTACCTTCCACCCTCCCTGCTCCTGAGAACTTACAGCATCGTTAATTGTCCTCTTGTCTGTGCACATGCCACAGTTCACTGGTCATCAGAGCCCTGGGGCCAAGGTTCTCAAATGCTATTACAGTTTTCAAGTGTGAAGTGCTGGGGCCATTTATTACTAATTATGAGTAGCTTATTTGAACTTAGCCCCAAAATAATGTCACTGTCACCCACTTGCATACAGAAGTGCTTTCTTGAGTGGGAGAGAGTGACTGGAGCTGGCTGACTGGGAATTGTACACAACCCAAAATCATCTGTTCTACAGCCTGTGGGAGTCTGTTGTGGGACATGCAAATGTCATCTTTCCTTGGGCTTTTTCTCAGCAAAAAAAAAGGCTAAAAACCTATTCAAAGAACAGGCAAATGTTCCCACTTAAGATTATTATTATGCTTGTTTGAGTTTGTTTGTTTGGCTGGCATGTGTTTTGGCCATATGGTGTTAAGAGGTGCATGAATGCTGACAAAAGACAGTTTTTCTCTCTAGAGGTTAGGTTTGTTTGTTTTTACTAGTTTATCAGCATGAGACTCTGAAGCTAGGTTGAAAAATCATCCTTCAGGTTTTATTAGGTAGATAAAAGTAGCAAATCTGAAAGATTTTACAAATGGAGGAAAATTACTTTTGATGTATGAATGTATATGGTAGATTCCCTTGCTTTTCTCTTTCCACAGATGTTTTCTGGTAAGAGTTTGCAAAAGCAGAATTAAAGAAGGCAGTGTCAATCAAACAGGTTTCATGTTTTCCTGTAGCGTGGGTTGGGTGTTTCCAACATGTGTTTGTCATGTCCATTAGTATAGAAACTTCAGAGGTTTTCCTGGAGATTTCTTTGTGGTAATCTCAATTTTTCTTTTTCAACATATGTTGACTCTACTTATTGTCTCAAATTTAACATAAAATGAAATCTTTACTCAAGCAGAAAGACTATGTTGAATCTGTAGTTGTTTCTGTCTCTAGAGAGTAAACTAGTCATAGATCCATGAATTCCTCAGTTAAAATAAAAAGTTAGTATGGATGAGTAGGAAGAAAGAGAATGTTTACATTTGTTAAACCCAAAATGTACATAGAAAGATACTGTTTCTTTGCAAATACTTAGTATACTCTATTCCAGAATTGTAGCTGTGGGGTCATTTTACATCTAAAGGTAGCAAAATCTCTTAACTCCTTATGCAAATTCAAGATGTGCTTTTAAAGACGTGTAACTAGAAAACTGAGAGTGAAAATTAAGGTTTTGTATGCAAATGATTTGCTTCCTTGTTCAGTGCTTTATTCTCCCTCTCTGGAAAATTAAGTTTTCTTTCATAGCTCATTAATAACTTATCAGTGGTGTTCAGACAGCATATTCTTTTAAAATCAGTGTATGGTTGTAGTGATGGTTGCACAGGTTGTGAAAGTATTAAACATTATTGAATTGCATAGTATACACTGATGAATTGTATGGTATGTGAACTACATCTTAATAAAACTATTACATGAAAAATCAATATGTAATTATATTGGAAAATATAGGGTTTTTTTTTATAGATTTTACCCAAAAAACTAAATGTGTTTTATGGCTTCTTCAGGGGTGAACATTTTGATCAGAAGTCCTCTTGGTTCATCTGTCAACTTGATTATGAGAAAAAATAAATATTTTAAAAATAAAGATATAATATAATTAAAATAAAGATTAAATATAAAATATATTTTTTAAAATTATAAAAAAAAAAAAGAAGAAGCCCTCTTGGTGTAACGCTTGCTGCTAGGTCCTTTGCCAGCTGGAGTTGCCAGTGTGCTCCACTCCTCTGTGCACACTGGGATGGCGCTGATGTCCTGGGTTAGCAGGCTGCTGTCACTTACGTCCATGCACTTCTGCTTCCAGCATTGGATACGTGTGCTTACAAAACCTATGTGTGCCTGTGCGGCCTGTTTTGTCATTATCTGATTAAAATTTTAATAATCCATTTATATTAATATATAGGTGCTAAAAGAAAAGAAAATTATAGCCTTTAACTAGATAAAGGTTAATTGCTATAAAAATTACTATTGAATTAGGCATGGAAGAAACAATTATATAAGATTTGGGGAAAATCATCAAAATTTAGATATATATTATAGTCAGTATACCCAGAATACTCACAAGTATCCTAAGTCCTCAAAAACTGGAAATTATAGGTAATGTAGCATGGGTATAGTTTATATAAGAAACAATTGGCATTTGTGTTTAAGTTACTGTTAGATATTTAAGGAATGTATATAGCACTTTAAAATTTTTTTCACTTTAATTAACCTTTCTGACTAACCGTCAAACTAATGGTTCCTGCAGCATTGAATCAGAGGATCTCTGCTATAGGAGTCAAAGCACGTAGAAAAACTTAACAAAGTTGAGTAAAATGGTAAAGGAGTTTAGGATTTACAGATAGGAATGAGCTAAAGTAACAACATGTGTGTGTGTGTGTGTGTGTGTGTGTGTGTGTTTGAGAGAGAGAGTGAAACTGAAAATAAAACTAGATTTACCTGTTAATATTTATGTCCCTACCTTCTTGCTTTTTTAATCATTATATGCTGATTTCAAAACTGTGTAGCATAAGAAAAGTAATGAAAGATGCCCATTCATTAATACAGGCACTAATCTGACATCCACAAAGACCATACATTACACTAGTTTATATATGATCACAAATAAGACATGGTTCCTCCAAAGACATGGAACCTCCAAAGAGCTTTTGTTTATGTGAGTTTTAGCTGAAATATACCATACTGGAATTGAAACAAGAAATTTTAAATTATTTAACTCATTAAAAAATAGTAAACCCACTGCATGTCAACATAAATAACATTTTTCATGAAAAATAATTATATCTTCCAAAACAAAAAAAGTTTAGTTTCACATTTTTTGCACATCTCTTCAATATGTGACTTACTTGTAAATAGTAGGGTTCTCATATTTGTTTCTGCACTCTATTGCAATATGCTGTCTGGTTGAAATATATAAAGTATATGAAGAAAATCTGGTCTTACACAGATACATAGGTGGAACAGGGAGGCTCTCACAGAACCCTCAGGGGTCTTCAGACCACACTGTGATAACCTCTATACTTGGGAATTGTGAAACATGAGTAGTGTTTTTTATTTGTTCACTAAATATTTACTAAGTGCTTACCATGTGCCAGTAAATAAGAAAAAAATAAGCTGTCAGGAATAAAGAGTTGGAGGTTGAGGCTGCGTTTGGAGTCTAAGCAAGCTTATCCTGTATCAGAGGTCAGGGTACGAAGGACAAGAGGGAACAATAACAGAGTATGGGGAATAGCCGATTGGAAATATAAGCTTATACTTGTTAAGATAGATTGCAAAGTTAGATTTAAGAAAATGAAAAATGGAGAGGCAGCTGGTATCTTGAAGAGGGAGTAAAATATTTCTAGTACAAGAAGGTATTGATGTCCTATTTTTTAAAAAAAAGTGTAGGGGGATCCTTGTGAAGTAAGGAAGGAGCATAGATTGAAGACTTAGGAATGTGGATTCCTGTTGTGAGAGAGATGAGTGAGTCTGGTAGCTGTAAGGCTCAGAGAACATTGCACGGTGTGACTGTAATCCCATCAGGAGAGGGTGGTATGAAGTTTGGGAAGGTTCTACCTCCAGATAGCCACTTGGGCTCTCTCTGCTGGTGGCCAACATTCATGTTAAATCCATGTGTTTAAAATCTCTCAAATAGATTGTCTTTTTTTAACCCTTCTGGGATTCTTCATAAGAGATGTAATGAGTAAAATGTTCAATACATATGTAAAGCCTTTGTTTATGTCGTGATGCTGGTTTTGATCATTTTTCCTTTTCTTTTTTATCCCAGACCATCCAGACCTTTCAAGTTGCCAAAAAGGTAAAGTAGTCATCTTATTAAATAATCAATTTACCTGCATGGTTCCTCCTTCTAGTATTTTCTCCACATTTTGCTAATCTTTCCACTTTCCTCACTCATATTTTTATGAAGGAAAAAGTTAATTTCTGAGCCTTGACTACTTGAGGAATCCACATCTCCAAAAGTGGTTTTAATCTCAAAATAGAGTTTTAGCCCTTAAATTCTATTTGTGTCTAATCATTTATATTTGTCTAATTATTTTGTATTCCTTCCTGTTCTGCCAACTACCATGACTTGAATTCATGGCAGTTTATTTTAGATGGGTTATCTGTTTTTCTTTCTAAAAATGTTACCCGTGGAGGTATTCTTTTATGTGAAAATTTTTAATCTTTTAGTAATCTTTTTTAATCTTTTTAATTTATCTTTTTAGTAGAGAAAATTTCAAATGGGTAAGAGTCTTGAAAAAAAGCATTGTGTCATCAATTGTCCTTATACATTATAGTTTCAGATATAGTGTCATTACACTCAAGAAATTCTAGGTGGTCTTTGAAATTCAGTTGCCAAGAAAGCTAAGATGCTGATAACTCTAAAGCCTGCCTCAAGAGAGTTATTATCTCTTTGGAGTAAAATTACTGCATAAATTTTAATTAATAAACTCTTTTATTTTTAAAATTGTGATCAAACATACATAATATAAAAATTGCCATTTTAACCATTTTTAAGAGCCCAGTCCTGTGGCATTCACATGGTGATCACTACCATCCTTTTCAGAACTTTTTTCATCTTGTAAAACTGCAACTCTATACCCATTCAACAATAACTCTCCAATCCCCCCTGCCACAGGCCCTGGCAACCACCATTCTACTTTCTGTCCCTATGAATTTTCCCACTCTAAATTACCTCATATTAGTATAATAGAATCATATAGTATTCGCCCTTTTGTGACTGGCTTATTTCATGTAGCTTCATGTCTTCAAAGTTCTGTGTTGTACCATGTATGAGAATTTTCTTCCTCTATAAGGCTGAATAGTGTTCCATTGATTGTATATATCACATTTTGTTTATCACAGTTTCCCTGCTTCCATTTTTGTAAAAAAAAAAAAAATTAAATGGAAAAAGATAAAGGGAAAAGGTATGCAAGTAAATATGGCATATTAAGAAAATGAATTCTACTTTTCTAGAAATAATATAGCTTTCTCAAATGACAAAAAATTTTATATTTTAAAAAGATTCATGTATATATTTCTATGTAATTAGATTAGTATTATAAAAAGTTCTAATTTCTTCTTTTCAGTGTATATACATATAAATATAACTTATTCCAAAAAGTCTTTTCTGTTTCCCTTTTCCCACTATGGCTGGAAATAATCTCCTCCTTCATTAAAGTCACAAAACATTTCATCTATACTCCTCTAAAAAATAGATATTTCTTTTTACATAGTTTTGTAGATATTTGTGTACCTGTCTGATTTTCTGTGTTCAAGTGGAAATTCCGTGAGGGCAAGGTCCATGTCTGCCGTTTTTGTGTTCTGAGAATGCCATACATCCTTACTGTTTCATGCTTATTGCTGAGTGAATTTATGACTTCGCAAGACATAAAAGGTTCTATAGCCTTTTTTTTTAATGGTGAAATTTTTCAGACTTCATTCTTCCCACTAAATTGGTAGTTGATGCCACTGGCAAAGTCGTTATTAATTACATTTTGGAATGTCTGCCTTTAAGGGACAGGAGAAATAAGGCAGAATTATCAAGGGAAATAAAAGGGAATAAACCAAGGGAGAAAGGATTTTTAGGAAGAAAGGGATAGCTAACTGTTCATTATTGCTCAGCTCAAGGAAGATGAAAACCAAGAATAATTAGTTGATTTTGGCAGTTCAGAAGAGTAATGAGAGCAAAAGCCAGAAGCCAGGCTGTAGGGGCTTATGGATTAGGTTGTTGGTCAGGAAAAGGAAGCCTCTGTCTGGGACTGTCTTATACTTTCTGAAGCATGGCTTTCTGTTTAGAGGGAAGGGAAAAAAGAAGAGAATGTTTTGAGAATGGCAGCAAAAAACAAGAGAAAAAAATCTTTATAAGCTAAGAGAGTAAAATTTACTGTGGTGGGAGTATTATTGTAATATAAATGACACATTTAAAACAAGCCCCTATTTAATGACACTTCAGAATAAGTTGGCCCTATATGACACTTTGCTTGTTTGTTTTAACAGTACCTCTGATCTGTTTCTAGGATAAACTCAATAATAAGGTGGCTGAGAATCTATGAGTATATTTGAGGGACTTCTCACTGGATGCCAATGAAAACCACAGCATGGCAGTAACAACCTGGACCAGGTGCCAGGCAGCACGCCCACTAACTCAAACCCACAGTTCACCCAGAACACATCTCATTCACCCTGCTGCATCTGTTTTCCTCATCTTGTGAAAGGAAGACAAGTCCTTCAGATCTATGTACTGTTTGAGACTTAACCTATTAAGAAGATGAGGTGAGGCCGGGCGTGGTGGCTCACGCCTGTAATCCTAGCACTCTGGAAGGCTGAGGCGGGTGGATTGCTCAAGGTCAGGAGTTCGAAACCAGCCTGAGCAAGAGCGAGACCCTGTCTCTACTATAAATAGAAATAAATTAATTGGCCAACTAATATATACAGAAAAAATTAGCCGGGCATGGTGGTGCATGCCTGTAGTCCCAGCTACTCGGGAGGCTGAGGCAGCAGGATTGCTTGAGCCCAGGAGTTTGAAGTTGCTGTGAGCTAGGCTGACACCACGGCACTCACTCTAGCCTGGGCAACAAAGCGAGACTCTGTCTCAAAAAAGAAGAAGAAGAAGAAGAAGATGAGGTGAACTTCTATGCAGCAGTGCCCTGGATAGAACTGTGGGCCCTAACCTCAGCCTCTGGTGTAGCAGTAGGGCCTCAGGGAAAACTGTCATCTGGTCATTGACTGGAAAATGACTGCCTGCTGTACATGACCCAGGTGTTCAGAGGCAGACTGCATTTACAATTATATTGTCTGAAGATTTTCAAAATTAGAGCAGGTGTATGAAAGACAAGTATTGTTTGATATGCAGAAGAATATATTATAGTAAAAGGAATGGTCCTTTTGAACATTCTTCTAATACACATGGTTTATTTTTCAAAGAAAATAATGTATAAGTACTTTATTCTTTAAACTTAGAGTGTATATACCTTGAACCTAGACTCACCAGGAGTGAAATTAGCTGAAAAAATATAGTGGAGAGATTTATAGGCTGTTTTTAATTTCCTTCTCCAATTTTCCTACTTTATTAGATTTTTATCTCAATATTACAACCATTATCTGGATTCCATATTGTCAATGAAACTTTGTTTTCCATGTGGTGCCCATAGCTATATGACATCCTAGCATAGATAGCAGGAGGAGCAGAGATAGCCTCAGCGATTTCGTGGTGGTTGGAAGAAACGCTGTCTGAGTAAAATTTACTCAGAATAGTTAGGCTTTCCCCCATGGTGCTTTATATGCTCAGGACGGTGATTCCATTTCTTAAATGTGAACAGTTGTCTCTAGGAAAGGTTAGCATGTAGAACATCTGCTGTGTGAGGAAGTGGAATTGTAATATAGTAAGGTTAAACATGTTTGGAAGAAATGTGCTGCAATCACTAATGGCATAAAGTTTCCATATGTAGTCAGTGCACATATATGGTATATAGCAGTGCTGTAAAATCAAAACCAAATGTTTTCAAAGGGAAGAAAAACAATTATTGAATGAGGTTTTTAAGGTTGCTATACACGTATGTGCAGATTTCTCAAGAACACAAAACAAAAAGTCATTATATAGGTAAATTAAACCACAGAATGAAAACTAAGCAATTTGGGGCCTACTGCCCTCTATTAATAACATGTTTGTAGGTAAAAATACATAACTTCTGATTCATGTGAAAGAAAATGGATCCATTTAAAATAACGTGTAATGAATAATTGTATAAGCCTAGGCCTATTTTCGTTTCATGGGGCTGATATTTTAAAGGTCTAAAATGTAAAAGATTCTTTTTAAGTATGAAGCAATGAACTCAATCATGCTATTGAGACAAAGGACTTTATTGCTTCAAAACAAGTTACTTTCATCTTAGTTTGCATTTGGTGGAGGAGGAAATAAAGTAAGGAGAATATTTTTTTGCACTGGGTGTGTTCTAGAAGTGTAAAAGCTTCTGGCCACTTGATGGTTATGTTTGAACAACCACAGCCAGCATATTGTCATTTATATATTTTTATTACATTCAGAATTATTCTGAAAGGTTAATCTGTTTTATGTAGCATAATTTTGCCTTAATGAGTTTTTAAATCCAGAATTGCAGTCTAGTAGATAATGTTCAAACTGGGAATCCTATGATCTATGTGATTTTGCATAGAGAAGTTAACTATTAGTGAGGCTATGAATTTTTAATTATGAATTTGGGAAAGCAAACATTTGTGGCAAGTTTACTTATTCCTAAAGCCTTTTGTGCTTGAAGAGAGAGATGATAGCATAGAAGTTAAGAGGCCAGACACTAGACCCAGACTACTCAGGTTCCTAGTTTTATTACTTTGAATGAGTTCCTTAACCTGTCTGTGCCTCAGTTTCACCTCATAAGGTGATTATGAGAGTTAAATGAAATGATAGTCTGCACACAAGACCAGCTGGCACTCTGAGTAAATGTAAGCTTTTAGTTATTTATTTGAGTAAGATTACTTTATTTTTTTTTTTTTTTTTTGGAGACAGAGTCTCACTTTGTTGTCCAGGCTAGAGTGAGTGCCGTGGCGTCAGCCTAGCTCACAGCAACCTCAAACTCCTGGGCTCAAGCGATCCTCCTGCCTCAGCCTCCCGAGTAGCTGGGACTACAGGCATGCGCCACCATGCCCGGCTAATTTTATATATATATATCAATTGGCCAATTAATTTCTTTCTATTTATAGTAGAGACGGGGTCTCGCTCTTGCTCAGGCTGGTTTTGAACTCCTGACCTTGAGCAATCCGCCCGCCTCGGCCTCCCAAGAGCTAGGATTACAGGCGTGAGCCACAGCGCCCGGCCTGAGTAAGATTACTTTAAAAGAATAGTAGTGAAAAATACCTGTGCAAATGCTCACTTAAAGCATAATTATGTTATATTTTAATTACCTTATTAAAATTGTAATTTGAAGTAAATGTTTCCATAAAGCCAGATCTATAAAATTAAGAGATGAGAATATAAAAATTAGCAATCTATTCTTAAAGACATATAGTAGCTTTTTTCAGAATGACACTTAGAGCCACCCGTTTTATTTGTAACTGTTAGCATAATTTTGAAGAAATAACTCACAAATATATGAGTAAAAAGCCTATTTCAGATGATCCAGAAATAGCCACCGCCCGAAGTCAAATGTACTTAGCTTTGTTGAGGATTACAGTTACTACAAGTTAAATGTTTTGTTTTGTTTTTCTTCTTCTAATAAAGATTCAAAAAACTGGAAGTTTGCATGATGCATTTTGAATTTTAGAAAAAAATTCAGTTTAGTCAACTTCTGTTGGGCACTTAGTTCACATAAAGACCTGGATGTGTAGATGCCAAGATAATAACTCATGGTCCAGGACCTTATGGAAGGGATACCGAAACAGATCTTTTGATCAAAGGTAGTGAATGAGGGTGTGGGAAGGGCATCTGGAAAAAAGGGCCTGATGGTAGGATTTGGTAACAGAGAGGAGTTTCCCAGGTGTCGGAAGAGACTAAAGCCAAGCTATAGTGGCTGGGGAGTATGAGCACCTGGGTGTTTGTTCGTTTAATCCAGGCGTCCTCAAACTACGGCCCATGGGCCACATGCGGGTGTTTTTGCCCGTTTGTATTTTTACTTCAAAATAAGATATACATGTGCAGTGTACATAGGAATTTGTTCATAGTTTTTTTTTAAACTATAGTCCGGCCCTCCCACAGTCTGAAGGACAGTGAACTGGCCCCCTGTTTAAAAAGTTTGAGGACCCCTGGGTCAGTAGGTACTGTTCTAGTCACTGGTGCTGCACTAAATAAAGCAGACAAAATCCCTGCCCTCGTAGAACTCACAGTCTAGTGGATATGTTCATTATAGTTTTAACTAAAAGGAAACTTACAGGTTTATGGCAAGTGTATGGTTTGGTTGCTTTTAAGATTTGTACCACATGAACCTTTTATGGACTCAGTTCTTTTTTAAGAACTGTTAGAGTAATGGTATGAAGAAAGAGAATAACTAAAGAAACAAATTCTGGAAGAGACTGCAAGGAAGTGTGGATACCTGGGAAAGAACTCCTCTTCCCCAAGCATAGATGTAGATATAAAATGTTATTTGTCATAGATGGGTATTATTCTGACTCTCAATAGATTGTAGCATATGACCACTGCTACTTTATCACAAAAATGAGAGGACCATAGTCTTGTAATTTTGTATAATTACATGCAAATACTTTAATCCCATTACATCTTTTATTGAAAATACCTGTACTTGGTCAAAAATATGAAAATTTAACAAATTTCTCTCTTAAGTACTAAAAACGTTGCTTCTAGGGGCCTTGTTTGTGACTTCTTTGTGCTTTTGTAGTTATGCAGCCCTGATAGCTGACTGGCCAGTGGTGGTCTTGGGCATGTGCACTGTGTTTATCGTGGTCTGTGCCTTGGTTGGAGTGTTAGTGCCAGAGCTTCCTGACTTCTCTGATCCATTGCTGGTAAGGAGAATTGAGCCAGTAGAATTTGTTTTCTTTGGCCTAAAATCATCTCTAAAAATTAAGTATTTTAATACATGTTACATTGTTATTTAGCATCCCATTTCTTTTAAATCGTTCTCAGCCATCACTAAGAATGCAAGAACTCCCTTTCTAAAAGGTGGAAACATGTTTTATCTGTATTTTCAGGTTCTTAAAAGGTCAAAGAAATTGTTCACCCTCAAAAACCTGGAAATTTTGCCTATTGGTCTAAAAAGCAATAAATTTAAGCTAAATTTTAAGCTAAAAAGCAATAAATTAGAGAATCTGCCTTCTATAAAAATATTGTAATAAAGTTTTTAAGACTGAGTTTCCTTTCTCTCCTGCAAAGAAGTTAAATGAATTTCAGTATTATTAACAAAAAGTGGGTCTGTTTTTAAGTTAAACATTCCTCTGGAGTAGAATAATGAGAAACATATTTAATATGATCAAGGATAATGATATACTCTTTATAAAACACTAACAATGCATAACATAATTTGATCATAATTTTTAATAAGATAAAAATAAGTATTCACTAAATGCTTAGGCATGAATTTGAAAGATAAGCTTCTGATAAGCTGTTTTTTCTTTTTTCTGAGACATGTAACATACCAAAGAATCAAACTGTTTTGTCACAGTAAATAGGTGATCATTATCATGTCAAGTCATCTTATTTTAATGCAGTTCACCTCTGGAGTAGCTGTGAGGAACAGCTGTATTTTCTGTTGAAAGCTATATGTCACTTTGACATCGCTCTCCCAAGCTTTTATTATAACTACTTAGCCTGAAATGAAATACACTAATGAGAGCTTCTGATATTCTGCCTTAGGGTTTTGAACCAAGAGGTACTGCAATAGGCCAGAGGCTGGTCACGTGGAATAATATGGTGAAAAATACAGGATACAAAGCAACGTTAGCAAATTACCCTTTCAAATATGCAGATGAACAAGCCAAAAGGTAATCATTTATTTTTTGACAAAACATTCCTTAATGAAGTTCTCTTTAAATATTGCCTGAAGAAAAAGATTAATTGTAAAATATGTGGCTCAACATCTTTTGCCACTGAATTTGTTTAACTTGTCACTGTCTTTTAAGATTTTGTTGCTATAGGATGAAAAGGTGAAGTTTTCTTCTTTTTTTTCTTTTTCAGAAATGAGAAAATTAATGTTGGTTGTTTATATTAATCCTTTCTACTTAATATCAAGCACTAAATAGGTTGTGGCTTTGAGGAAGTACTGTTAGTATGCTTTGAATTAGCTAGAACTTTATTGAAGATCAAATTGTGATTCCATTTCAGCCATCGGGATGATAGATGGTCAGATGATCGCTACGAAAGAGAGAAAAGAGAGGTTGACTGGGACTTCCACAAGGACAGCTTTTTCTGTGACGTTCCAAGTGAGTGGCATGATGCGGACCCTCAGCAGGTTCCTCGTCCTCAAAATTGAACATGATCACAGTTTAGACTGATGAGCAGTATGTGGCTAATCACACAACTTAACTGTTTCTATTGAATCTAAAGAGACTTTAACTTTTAGTTTACTTACCTAGAAGTAAAATACTCTGAATTTGTCTATTATTAAAATTGTAAGAAAAAGTGATAATTGAGTTCTATTCAGTTTTAAGGAATATATAGATCTAATAAAATTCGCAACCTTACCCAAAATTTCAAGTCCTTTTTAAAATTCCTTGTACCATTTATTTCTAGATCCAATAACAAGTACATATTTTTGAATTGAACCCTGAAATCTATTGTATTATCAAAAATATTTTGTTAAGTTTTGGTTCATTCAAATAGCATATATTATATTAAGAGCCTTCTACGTACCTGACTCATCACTAGGCACTATAAAGATGAATAAAATGAAGTCCAGAGGTCCAAGGCTTGAAGCCTGCGGGGCTCGGCACATAGTGTGATGGAGTAAAGCCAGCCACATACAGGGCAGCAGGAAGTGACAGTGACTGTGGAAACTAAGGCACATCTGCCTTCTCTAAAGAAACCAGCTGCAGCCAAATGTGGCTTTGAAGAAACGAGGGTACAAATGTTGCAAGAACTTCCCAGAGGTCAGGAATCCACATTTTAATGTGGAATTGCCAGAGCTCTAAATGTTGGCAACAGATTCACTACCCAAAGTTCACTGCAGCCTAGAGTCAGCTCATTACTTTGCAGCTCCCGGGGAGGAAGGAGCATGCACCCTAGAGGAAATATTTAATATATATAAGTATGTAAGCCATTAATTAGCCATGGTGATTAGGAATGAGGAATTGTGGATAATTGTAATTTTTAACTAAGTGACTATTAACATTAAAGCTCTTTAGATTTTACCTTTTGTTGTTGTTGTTGAAAATTCCTCTTACATGTGTGTTTTCCTGACTTATTAGAGCGCCGGATGCCCTGATTGGGTCTTTGATGTTTCTAGATCTTACCAAGTCTGATTGGATCTTTGATATTTCTACATCTTACAAAGTCTTGGTCTTTATTTTGAACATTGTTACTCTATATAGTAATAGATAGTAGGAAATTAGGCAGAGTCTTATACTGATCCCAGGCAGCAATACAGGTTTCCTTTTCTGTCTCTTCTCTTAAAAAATATTAGAAAAGTTGAACTCTGGTTAGTTGCATGTTCAGGCTGGTTTATTTCTCTGGGCTGGTTGGTTAAGCAATAACCAACCAACCAGTCCCGGTTTGTTAGTTAACCGGGAAAAAACATTAACAAATTCATGAAATACATTCTTGTTTATATTTTAATAGTCAACACTGAATATTTGTTTTATAAGTAATAGTAAAGCCATTATCAGCTCTATGTAAATGAAATATTTCAGTTTACATAGGCTCTCTAAAATCAACCAAATAATAGCCATTTGATAAAGAGTTTATTACAGAACACTTCATGATCATAAATAAAACTTTTTGTAATAAAGCTTTATTCATAAATTTACTAATTCACTAATTAGTAATCCATAAATTTACTAATTTTCAAATTAGTAAATTTATGAATAAAAGCACAATTAGTCATTTTAGTTAATGTAAAATTAATTTGCTTTGTTTCATTTTGTTCATATTAAGTTTTTAATGACCAAGGAGACAGAAGCAATACTCATTAAGCACCTATTATTTATTATCTCATTTAATTTTTTTTTTTTTTTTTTTTTTTTTTTTTTTTT